CAATAAATTTGCTCCTCGTACTACTACTTCAATTTATGAATTACCAAAAAGTAACAATGTCTAACCATCATTTGAAAGATTTTCGATCACACAAACACAAGATCCCATCCGCATAAATATTTTATGTAGATGCAAGTCTTCTCATTCTATCTTCAACGCAGCATTACGTTTAGAAGGTATCTAAGTCGTAATTTAGTCCGCTTAGGGACGATCATAATTCATTCAACTGTAAATATACATATATAGTATTTGTAAAGATTAGTGTTAATGATTCTGTACATGAAAATTTTCTAAAGTAATAAATCTGAAAATCAAGATTTCCACGCAATCAAATTCTTTCTTCCATATTTAACGGATACGTGTAGAAAACGACAAATAAAAAATAAAAAAGTAGCCATCCTTTAACATATACATTTGGTCACCAACTTACCATACATCTTAAATAAAGGTCAGTGATGTAAATACTGGTAAATCCAAGGGCTTTAAAGTTAATATTGGATGAAATCGTACAGGAACAATAAGGCAATTCAGAGAACGCATTTATCATTCTCTCAGAATAAAAATCTCCTCCTCCTTAACAAACCCTTCTACATTTCTTAATCCAACGGTTCGTGTGGACGGATTCGATTAGACACGCGCTTTTGGAGACTCGTCCTTCATCATCAACCCCAATATGTATTATATACACACGAAAACACAGACGTAAAAATGACGTAGACTCTCCGTCCCATAGTTTCTCTCGTCTCCATTCCATATTATTTTCTCCCATGTATAACTGATTCTCTCACTCATTCAATTCCAAATAGAAAAATCTATATTATTTGTATATTTTGGCTTCAGTTTTTTGGGATCACGGAAGTTGAAGATCTGATCGAGAACTGCCATACTCGAACCCTCAAGTCTCCATTGTTTTCCATATAATAAACCCAAGGTTCATTTCTCGATATTCTTCACTAATTTATCAATAAAAGATGACGTACGGTTTTTTATTTTTCTTTTCTGTGTTTTCATTTACATATTGTATTGTTTTGCAGATGAGATGAGGTTTGCGGAGGGAGTAATTAAATAGTCACGCAAAATCAAAGGTAAGAATTTCTAGATTTATTTCCTTTTATTTTTGTTTTTGTCCATTTTTTTGTTTTTTGTTTTTGTTGATGTTCGTTTTGACGGGAAATGAGGTTTGGATAAAGATAACGAAATATTTTGATGTTTGAATTCATAGTAAACAAAAGGTTTTCCAGTCTCAGATTTTTTTTTTCTTGAACCTTTTGGATCTAGAAAATTCTTCACCACAACATACAGTTTCTTGTATTCCAAGTTGATGAAGTTTTAGAGAGATAGAGAGAGAGAAACTTCTCGTAGACACATTCCGGCAATCACTTTCTCTTGTTTCATTTTCACGGTTACCACAGTTCTCTCTCTTTCATATGAACTTGTTTTATTTTCGTTCTGATTTTCTATTTCTAATTTTCCTTATTCTGAATTTGACTTTCCTTACATATAAAAATCATTGCCTTGATTTTAAATATGAATTTATTGACTTCCTATGTCGGCTGCTATATGCTAAGATTTAATTGCTTCTAAGTTCTTCTTTTATCGGTTGCATTAAGCATTCACATTTTTATCTTGCTCCAGTATTTTTATTTGTGGATACGCACAGCTCAGTAAAAAAAAAAAAAAACACTTAATCCAAAGATTTCAAAGGCTTGTTAAAGTTAAAATAATTGATGTTTTGTATGATTAATGATGTGTTCAGTTGTAGTGAAGGAGAGGAAAATGTCGTCATCAAATTCTCCATGTGCGGCATGCAAGTTTCTCCGGCGAAAGTGCACGCAGGAGTGTGTGTTCGCACCATATTTTCCGCCTGATAACCCTCAGAAATTTACCAATGTCCATAAAGTATTCGGCGCCAGCAATGTTGCAAAGCTCCTCAATGAACTAAACGCCAGCCAGCGCGAGGATGCCGTAAATTCCTTAGCCTATGAGGCGGAGTATCGCCTTCGCGATCCAGTGTATGGCTGTGTTGGCCTTATTTCCATTCTGCAACATAAGCTCAAGCAAGTGCAGCTCGATTTGGATAATGCGAAAAAAGAATTGGCTCATTATATTGGGCCTTCTGCGATGTTGCCAATAATTAACCACCCAGGATTGATGAATCAGCATCCGAGCTTTGGGGCCTCGGCGTATCACGTCATGCAGTATAATATGCAGTCAATGATGGGGGTGCCGGCAGGGCTGCCACAGGAGCAACAGATTCTTGAGGCACAGCGGTTGGCGGTGGTTGGGGCCGCCAGGGAGCAGGAGATGTTTAGGAATTATGAGCACCAGCAGCAGAATGTTTTGGTGAGATTTAACAGTGGTTTTGATACTACAGGAGGGTCGGTCACCGCCACAGGATATAATAAATTGATTCCGGCCACTGCTGCTGCCGACATGCCGCCTGCCTTGGCCTTGGGATCTTACGAAGGCAACCCTTACGGTCATCACATTCAGCAGCAGGCGGAGGAACATTTACTTTCTCATCACCCTCAACAGCTCGAGCTTTTGCCACTCGACCTTTTACTCCAGCAACAGAATGCTACAATTCATCACGAGACACAGCAACTTCAAACATCAATGCCACCGAGAGCCAGAAGCGAAGAGGGCAGGAGTATTGATCCTTGATGTTAATTCAAAAAGCATCTTGTCCAAAATCAAAGGCTCAATGCCCTCTGAGCTTTATTCTTTCAATAAACTTTTGATCCAGGTAATCCCACTGCCCAGTTTCTGTCTATACTGTGACCTTTTCTTCACTCATCTAAGACTCTAGAGCATGTTTAAGCTTAAAAGAAGGTACTAAAGCCATGTTTCATAAGTTGGATTCCTATTAAGCAAAGAAGAAAAATAGTTTAAAATCTTTATTGTATTGTTTTGTATTGGATATCTTAGATGCCCTAAATCCTTGTGTATAGCATGTTTTGCGTCCGTGCACTTGAGGGTTCTCCTTTTTTGTTCTTGTGTGTCTGTGGGGTGATGGATGATTGCTCCATATCATTAATGTTGGAGAGATTTGGCATCGTCTCTCTTAACATGAATAGGGTTATATTCTTGCTGAGAGCAGTGGAAAGCAAAATTTACTATCTGTAGTATGGCACAGCAGGAGGTTGGTTATGAGAAATTGTCTTTTCAATGCCCAGAGACATGTCACATTCAGTAATCATAACTCCTACCTATTAACCCTAACTGCCCTTTTCACGTAGGACGCTCATTGGTTTTTGCATTTCATTTTGGCAGCAGTATATGAACCAGTTTTAGCCTAGCATCTTCCTTTAGCAGAAATTGGTACTGGTAATAAATGCATGGATCAATGTGTTTTCAAATTTTGGTTTCACTACGAAAAAGAATTTGGAATTAACAATTTTTTTTGTTGCTATGGATGTGCATGTGGTGTTACAAAAAAAAAAATTAGCTCCAGTTTGACAAATCATTATGGCTGGTGGGTCCCATGTATGATTGGTTGAAAAGTAAAGACAAATTATTGGTCCAAGTGTGATTGATAAAAAGTTTGACCAACTTAAAATTTGAAAAGCTTTACCAAAAAAGAGCTAGATCTTTCCCTTTAAATAGGATACAGACTATGTCTATATGAATGTTTTGCATTTGTTCCATGTAATGCATTACCCGTACAAAGTCCCCCCGAAGAAATGTGTAATTAATGTCATAATATCTTTCATAAAGTTTTATGTTGGCTGTCAACAATAATCTTTTTTTATTAGTTTTATGAAATAGAAAACATCGACAAGAGTTTAGACTTTAGAGAGAATTAATGAGAAACAGCAGCTCAAATTTGTGCAAAGAATCGGACAAAAATGGGGTGGTTGAAATGGCACATGTATGTTATGCTTGGATGCATTAAAAAGTAATTTGTACTGGGCATTTTCTAAGGCAGTATAGTCTAGTATTGGCTAGCCATTTAGACTAATGCAGTAGTAGTGTCAATATCAATGTGCAATATAGGATGTCCGGCCAGGTGAAAACAAAAAGGTAGGTTGTGCTCTTTTTGATATGGGAATTTGATACTCCCAACTTTAAATGCATGCATCTTCCCCCTTTTTTCCGTCTTAATTGGGCATTGAAGAATTTTAGTCCTGTTATTCATCTTCTGATTATTCCTTTTTGTTGCAGCAATGAGCAATTCATGGCGCACAGGAGAGAGAGAGAAAGAGAAGTGAGAGAGGAAGGATAGAGGGAGAGAGAGAGTCGCAACATCGTTAGTTTTCTTTTATTAGCTCTTAAGGTTGAAGAAGACAATTTTTGCTCGATGGTACAATTCGAATGTAGGAGCAGCATTGATTTCCACAATAGTGTTATGTTACATTCAGCAAGGTTCAGGTTAATACTTCCTGATGCCGGCCCGCCCACGTAGTATGCATTTTTGCCTTATAATATTCTAAGTTGCAAGTGATAAGACTTTTCTTTTTTAATATTTATTGAAAAATTAAGAATTGAACTGTTGAAGATTTTGCATGTTAAATTTATTGAAATGTGGAATGTGACTAATATTTCCTTTTCATCACTAGCTTTACACAATTTTTGCCCTAAAAAGCTGGAAAAGATTGACAAAATTTGTCATAGGTCACAAATGTCAATGATCTGGTGCAGGGTCTGTGGGTTCGGTTGTGGCTGAATACCTCACCTTCGGGACAGATTTGTCTGGTCCATGTCCACAAGCGCGTGGGCTAACTTGGAGCTAAAGACGCTGATTCAATTTCAAGTTGTTGATGACTTGGAAATTCGTAAATGAATGGATCGATCAATCCTGCGTAGTTATCAAGAAGTAAAAGTATTTTCGAGAAAGAATATAACATTTTATCTGTTTATAAATCGATATGTGTTGGATAAGTTAATGTACTTGTAGATCCTACAAAATTTACAGATAAAAATTGATTTGATCATTTTTAACCAATAAATGGAGAAATGGTTTACAATCACTTGCCAAACATATGCTTAATCTCACGATGCTTAATCATTCTCCTTTTCTTGGTCGAAAATTGAGTTCCCAATTGTTGGAATTGCCTTCAAGTCCAGAGGTCTAGGACCAGCGTCCACGGATGAGTAGTTTGTTATAATCCTTTGTAACATTTACTTCACTTAACTCTCGTGCATGTGTAGACCTTATAGCTTAGTCAATGGTAAGTTATCATGCAACCTGAATTTTACCTTTATTTTTTACCGGCTAAAAAAATTCGATCTGTGTCAATAACCAGTTTCAACCTTTGTACCCCGTGGATCACGCTACACAAGGTGTGCTTTGTGAACTCATTAAAAATGTGTATTTACATTCAATAAAAGCCAATAGTTTAGATTGGCATGTGCATTGGGTGACTTGTTAAATTAGAATAATTATTCTAGCATGACTCGGATCCCTTAAAAAGGATTATCCGTTAATTAAATTATAGTACAAGAAAGTTGACAATTTATTAAAAACAAGTATATGTTGAATTATGAGTTTAAAAAAAAAAAAATTTTTTTGTTTATTCCAAAAACGGATATTCCTCTTTGATTTTGAATAAGTTGAGATAAACACAAAATGTGTATATGCCAAATATTATAAAAATAGGACCCAACCAAATACAGATCTAGGGAAGAGACAAAGTCGTCTAATCTTTGTTGCCTATTTTAAAGTTAAGGATAAGAAATTGCGTTAGATATTGCTTTAGTTCCAATAATACGAGTATTATTCATCTCTTCTTCATTTATTTTTATCTATTTATAAACACATCCCAAACATACGTTTAATAAAATGCTATTAACATGGTAGTACAACATCTTCAATGCATTATATGAATCGCAATTTAAGTGACATTCAAGGAAACATATTTCTAATTTATGGTGATGTCGATGTCTCTTGAACACAGTAACGGGTTCATGTTCATGTTACGACTACAACCCAATTTTTGTACCCCATGTATCTTTCATCAACACTAAAATAATTTGAGCTCCGTTTTT